AGCCCCTCATTTAACAATTGAGAAAATAATGGGTGAAGATAGTGACTTCATCAAAGTCACCCAGATAACCAAGCCAGGACAAAAATTTGGGGCTTTTTGTTTCCTAGACTGATACTTTGCTGATACTCTCACACTATCTCCTTTTATCCATCCAGGTAAACTGGATAGCAAGCACCTTATATTTACAAAAACACATAGATTTGTATCATTCATTTTTAATTTACATAATTTATAGAAAGTTTTTATTTGCAGAAAAGATTAGGTGATTTGTAAAGCATTTAACCAAAAAGTTGCTGTAGAACAAATATTAGAAATAGAAGACCCAATTAAGTAAGGTTGGAATCCTTTGCTGATCTAATATGATGATTAACTAAGCATCTGGTCATCTTTCTGCTCCTCTGTGTGTACATAGCTGATAGCAAAGTGAAAGGGTATGGATAGTGTCTGATCCCAGCAAGCAAATCATTTGAAAACAGTCACAGCTACAGATCAAAGATTTTCTACTTAATCTGGTTAGATTGAAACCTACTAACCTCGATTTTAAACATAATTACCTACACACCAAATCAGTCAGAAAATAAGAGCATGACTCTTTATGTTCCAAAGATAATAAGGGAAGGTAGGAAGAAAAAATTCAGGAAAGAGACTGGTAGAACCTTGATATTCATAGGCCAAGACAGCTGTTTTATATCTAGCTTTATTTGAGATGGGTAAAGTTTCCATTCCTTAGATCATTAAATATTATTTCATTTATACTGCACAGATGTCTTCTATACAAAGATTGCAGTCAATGAAGAATTTTTTTGTTGCTTTTTAACCACTACAAGCAATCAGAGAAACCTCTCTGCAAATCACTTTTACACTAATTCATAACATTTGAAGGATGGGGCAAGTTAGATTTTTAACATTTCCATTAAAAATAACACAAAGTCCAATACATTTTTAAATAAAATATTTAAAATGGCTACTTTTCCTAAAGTAAAACAAAAACCTATCCAGACGATATGCTTAACTAATAATTTTAAACAGAGGCGCACAAAATGTCTTATATGACCTGAAAGAAGTAGAACGTAATGCCAAATATTATATTCTGAACTAAGTACAGCTCAATAACAGTATAATCTACATCTCTAATTTCACTCATCTGTTTCATTAATGTCTGGCACTGATCACAAAAGAAAGTAGAAAGGGAGTGGGGATGGCTATAATATCCTAAGAAACATACTCTACACAATGTGAGTCAATAACATCATCTTCATAAACAAAAGCGATCACATCTTCTTGAAACCATAAGATCAGCTTTCAATTTTCTTTAGCATTTAAATTAATTATTGTCTGATCCCAGTTTTTCTGTCTAACTTCTGCAAATGATATTAAAGGCCAGCAAAATTTGGTACTTCAGGTGGAAAAGTCACAAAGAATAATCCACAAATTATACATTCATTTCTTAAAGTTAACAGTTGGTTCTACCAAATATACCCTTTTATCTCAAGATTATACTGACTTATGAAAGCCAAAGTTATTTGGCAGGTAAAATTTAATATTTGCCTAATAGTACATTAATAAATTCAAACTTTTTCAAAAAAGGAGGAGGGGAGAGAAAAAGAAGAAAGGATGGAACAAGAAAGAATAGGAAAAGAAATTTTTTTTAAAATTTGCTCCAGCTTTTCAGAACTGCTTAACTACATATGCAAACAAAAGAATGTAGTTGTTACAACTCAAAAATGTATACATTTAAAATGAGAAAAAGATACATGATTTCTCGGGAAGGTCAAAAGACATATACCAATATAAGCGAGAATACAGCAAGTTCAATGAAACATTCTAAAACACACTTGCTGAATTAACTTGGATGTTAACATTTCACATCCTAGCTCAATAATATAATGGTATTTACTCCTCAGTAAGGCTAAAAACTGCTTACTTCCATTTTCCTGAGCACAAGTTCCTTACTCTATCATTGTATATTTTTAGTTACATCAAATTATGTATAGTTTAATAAAGTACTCACTTATGCAGTTGCTATTCAACTTGGGGAAAAACCCTAATATGTAGCATTGTCTCAATTTTCTCATCCCACTATATAATACAAGAATTATATTTGTAAAAATCTAATACGTAACAAACATCTCTAATCGTATATATTTTCTAAGGCAATCCAAACAAATTTAAAAGGCCCACAAAAAACACTCATCAAAAGTACATAAAAGCATTTTATTTTTCAGTGCAGTTTCATAAGCTTACTATACAAAATTAAAGCTATTGCTTTTACCTGACATAAAATTAACTGAAGTTCAAACGGTTCGAATGAGAACAATACCCTTGGGTTACTAATCAAAGAGGGTAAAAAAAAAAGTTTAGTTTTATTTTTTAAAGGCTCTTTTATGAGGGGGGAAGAATAACTTGTTTCAACTGCATGCTTGACCATATAAAATTATTAATAGGCACTATGGTGAACTGTTCAAGGCAAACATTCTATTACTGGTTATTTTAGATTGATTCCAGAATAATAATTACCAATAGCTTAGAAACAGTCTCCATGACACTTTGGAGTTTTAGAAAATTAAATCCTTTGACAGAGAATGAAAGAGAATGTAGTTTTACTTTGACTTATCATGTGGATAGTATAATCTTGATTGTCATTAACATATATTTAAATATAATTACTTCAATAAAATTTCATCAACTAGAACACACTAACAAATCATGTCTGGGTTATTTACTTTTGTTTTTAGTTAAATAATTTTAAATTCAGGGAAATTAATAGTATTTTATTTCCTCATTTATAATTTGACCACAAATAAAAATGAATTTTTATTTTCAAAAAACAAGCATTTTAATAAATATGTAGAATGATTAAGTGTCTAAGAACTAAAAATTTAGCAACCACATAGATGTTTTAAAGTTAGATTTTAGAGGATAAGAGTACATACCAGTAAACATGTTGTCCTTTGTTTTCCAAAAAGTATAAATCCTCAGAGATACATTCTTAAGTCAATAATCTGATTTTTTTGAAAGCTTCTAAAATGTTTTCCATAAAATAAAATCATGTATTCTAAAATTTGAGTACTCTTTGGTAAAGATTATTGAGATACTATATAGTATTTTTGCAGATAATAAAATAACAGATATATTTTAAGTCTTGCCAACATGATAAAGTAAAAAAATGTACATTAGTACATTAGTTAACTCAGTAAATTCATTTTTAAGTTAAGATCAGCAAAAAAATAAAACAGTTTAAGAATTTTGTATTCTCTGGAAACATAAACAGGATTATAACTGTCAGAATACAGAAGCACTGACTTCAGCCATTAGTTTGATTTTGCTCCTGAGAAATACAACATGAACTATTGAATCATTTCTTTTCAAATCCATACATTCCCTGCAGCAGTTCAAGCTTCATCAACAGTGCAGGAATGTATAAAAATGACAGGCGAAGGGCATTAGGTTTTTTTCTTCCATACTGTTTTCTTATAAATGGAAGACAGGATTCTTTCTCAAAGCACTTAAGCTCAAGCTTAGTCAATGCTGAAGGAAAATATAACTGAATTCTCTTTGCAAAAAAGTATGCCAATTGGATTATTTATTACTTTTCAAGAAAATGTTGATGAAATCTAATACTGTATTATCTTAGAACAAAACATTGTAAGGTTAGCATTCTAGCTAGCTTAATTATCCATTATTCTTCTATTGGAAATATTTTCACTTTTTAAAGTATTCTGTCAACTTATCACCTTAGCACCAGAGTTTTCAGTTTTGCTTCTAATTTTAATCCTAAAAATGTCCTTAAAATATGCTCATTGTCTCTTGAAAATGTATTTCTACAAAGTTAATTTTTTGTTTCCAAGTTTCTGCATACATAAAGGTTCATCGAAATGGGAAATTCCATTCATAATTAAAAGTTCATTTAGCTATGATAAGTAAAAATAGGATGTAATGAGTAATCTGCCTATTTTCACGGACTTTAAACATTCATATTGCTATAAAACTAGCACAGTAATTACTACAACCTGACTCATTTTTTTTTAAAGAAATTGGGAAACTTTCAGTTTTAAACATTCACATATTTTAGTTTGTAGTAACCAAAAAATGTCCACTTCAGTATTTCACCTACATTCTTTATGTTCCTAATGTAATGAGGCGAGAGGTAAAGCCTAGAGAAGTCTGAAGGTTATGTACTACCCAAAATCCAAAACGAAAATTCAAATCACACCCTGAATGTCCTTCTTCCCCTTTTAGGAATGTCCTGCAGCCAGCCCAGCACCACAGCTCTGGGCAGAAGCATGCTGATGTTGGCACTGCCTAAGCCAAACAAACAAGATGTTTAACAGTCAAATAAAATGTCCTGCAGCCTCCCTAATGAATTTGTCAAGGACCATCAGATTTCGCACCCCCTCCTTTGCCTCATTAACTCAAGTATGATGAGACGGATTATAACAAGAGAATACAGATGAATCGGTCTGAAGACCTGAAGTGGCTTTTAGCCTCTAGAGTTTCTTTCTCTCACTTGGTCCCCTTTAATAGAACATAGTATCTCCTGCAGAAGGAGCTGCCACTTCGTTTTAATACACCATCAAGGAGCTGCTGATGGACTTCTATACTAACATACATAAAAGCAGAGGTGACAGGGGCTCTTCAATTACAGCCTCCTCGGATACCGTTTCCCCCTTCAATTATTCAACCAGAGGAAGAGAGGACCGCAAACGCACAGCTGAAGCTGCTCTTAGAGCACAGGCAGCCAGAGTGAGTTGGGGTGGGGGAGGGGGGAGAAAGAGAACCAGCAAGAGGGAGCATTATTTGCTGGAAGTGTTTAAGTTTATTGCTCAAATGATGTTTCTAATTAGTACCACGGCCATAAATTAAAGTCGCCTTTGTTTAACTGATTTATTATTTACTAGAGCATCTACCTAAGACAGGGTAAATTGGTAATGAATTGTTTTTAAATCAAAACATTTGTAACGTTTTATCATCCTTCGGCCTCTGTATGTAAAAGTGGAGAAGCGTGGGGACAAGGATGCGAGAAAACTTAACCGAGCTTGACAGAGCCGCGAATGGAGGTGCAGCTGGGTGTCCGGCGAGTGGGTAGCACGAAGGTCCGCGCGGCCTGGGCCGCCCCACCCGAGAGGAGAGGACGCGGGACTGGCGGCGCGGCGGCGGAGTCCTGCGGACCAACTCCTCCACCCCCGAGGCGGTTTGCAAACACTCTCGGGAGCGCAGCGGGCCAGGCCATTCTCGAGCCAGAGGCTACGACGAAGCTACCACCTCGAGAGTGGGGAGGGAAAGCTCCGCACCCTCAATCCCCAGCACCAGTCTCCGCCCAGTAACTGCCCTCGGAGAAGCCGCCTCGGAGCCCCTCCCGGCCAGTCGCGCTCTCCCGGCAGCGCAGTACCCTCCGGCCCAGGGAGTTCCCAGAGCGCCAGCGTGGCCTCGCAGGTTAGAGCCGGGCTCCCACACGCGCCAATCCAGAGGGCGCGAGGTCCCCTGGATCCTCAGGCGGCGAGGCGTTCCGGGACGCAAGCAGCCTCCCTGGAGAAGCCTGGAGGCCAAGTCGCCCAAGTCTCCGCCACTCCAGGGAAGTTAACTAAAGCTCTGCAATCCGAGAGTCGCGCGGACGCTTACTTCTGACTGTTCTCCCTAATCCCTGTAAGACAAACCCTAAGCAACAAATCCGAGATAGTTTTTTTAAGCAAATATTCTTTGGAAAGGGATTTATAGCCACGAGAGAGGAAGAGTGACAAACTGCCTGTGGTCCGCACCACGTATGTAAGAAAGAACCAAAAGGTCCAAGTGTCTGATACCAAGTAGATGGAAAGAAATTAACTTCCCTATGCAATTCAATTCAGTTTCACCTGGCCGGACTTTAAGAGGGTAGTCAGGCCCTCCCAAGGGATTTTGAAAAAAACCGAACTACCAGGCTTCTACAACGAAGTTTTCACCCAAATAGACTCATAGATTTTTATTTTTATCTCATAACCCAGGGCTTGGATATAACCTCCCAAATCACACTAAAAATAATCACATCTATCTGACATATGTTAAAAAGATTCAGAATCCAGACATCTTAGGTTCATACATAAACCCACAGTATTAACCAAATCAGAAACGACGTTCTAGCTTTTTTTTTCCACCCAAAAGTACAGAAAGGCTACAGTGGGTACAGCTCGTTAAGGATAATACATATACTAAAGGCACATGCATGCCTTTCATTGAAATGCCGAGGGAGGAGTGAAGCCATCTGTGTAATCAATAACAGGATACTTATAGATTTTTGTGGCAGTGAAGTATTTTAAAAGCGAGAGCCAATTATGAAAATAAAATCATTTTACAAATGAAACTGTACTGCCTCAGAATACATTCATAATTAGATTTGTAACAGTAACATTTTAAGAAAACTTTAGGTTTACATTTACTTCCCTTGTTTTTCATTAAGTTTGAAACAATTTTAGTAGCTTATTTTAAAAGTATATCCTACTAAGCTCTACATATAAATTTGCACCGTTTCTTACAACTTAGACATTTTCTCTCTCATAACTGGTTAATTCTTGTAACGATAAAATAATGGTATTAAATATATGCGAATCTTAATTCTGAAACAATTATCAAACAAGGTGCTTGGACTCGTTTTTGCCCTGCCCTGTTTTACAACAGCATATCGAAATTACTAAAAAGAGATTTATGTTCATAAACCCTCACCTTATATCCATTCCAAACCCCCACTGGTGCACATATACAGCAATTGCTATGGTTCTTGGCAACAATGGGAGGGGAGGGGAAGAAAGGGAGGAAGACTTTAAAGGAGGAAGAGAATTGGAAAAATTAGGTCCTTTTCCAGATTCCCCTTTCTCCTCCCATTTGCCTTCAAGCCAAAGTAATTTTGTTACAGTTTGCACCTTCTCCTACCCAATGTTGATAGAATCATTAACATTAAAAAAGTGAACCTTTCTGAACCACTGCTACTCTCCCTCGCGTTATTCCAGCCATCTCCAGGAGAGTCCCTTCTATATAAACTCCTTTTCTTCTTTGCTACTGATAAGAGAGGAGGATAAAGAAGAAGGGCTGTAAAATGTGTGCAAGCATTTGATTTCCATTATCTCCTCCTATTTTCTTACTTCTCTCTTTACCCCCTTTCTTTATCAAGTGCAGTGGTGGCTGCTACCGTTCGCCAAGCGTGCCTGTCTTCTCTCTCGGATTGGCTAAAGCACTGACAGCTCGGATAGCGATTGTAGGAGCTGAAGCTCCACCCCTCATGATGGCCCTGGGACCATTCATAAACTAAATAACTCCAGGAAACAGCAAGGGAAGAAGAAAGAGAGAGGGAGAAAGAGGGGGACAGAGAGAGAGAGAGAGAGAGAGAGAGAGAGAGAGAGAGAGAGAGAGAAGAAGGAGGAGGAGGAGGAGGAGAGAGGAGCAGCACGAGGGAGGGGGAGGGGGAGGGGGAGAGAAGCAGGGGGAGACGGGGGCGAGAAAGAGGTCGGAGAGGAGAGGCGGGGGAGAGACGACTCAAAGTGGAATCTGTACAAGCAACCTAGAGGAGGAGAAGGAAAACCTTGAATCGTTATAGCTACACCCCAGATGCAACGCAAGCAACGACTTCGTCACACTAAAACGGATTTTGTGAGGGCCAAAAGTATAAATTACGAAGCAGAAATGATTATCAAACAACTTCCAGCGGTTTGCACCTAAAGAAATACAAGAAGAATCCACTACAAACAAACAAACCCAGTCCAAACAACGCCTCCAGTAGGAAAAGAGGAAAACTGCGACAACACGACCCCCAAGAAGAGAGGAGACCAACACGCTGAGACTGCGGGGTGTCAGCAAACCTCCAAGTGCACGGCGGACTGAGTTGCACTTCGCAGCTCCCTGGACATTAATTACCTCCTGCACCTTCCATTTGCGGGAGGGTGAGGAAGAAGGTACTCACCTACACTGAGCGAAGAAGTCGTACCAGCGTGGAAGAGAAGTTTAAGAATGAACCACTGAATGTTTCGCTTTTATTTTTAAATTTACTTTGGCACTTAAAAAACTTCATTTCCAGGTTTCTAGGCAATCTCGGCTACAGACATCTAAGCCTAACCTTTTGGTATCCTGAGGTTTTTTTCTCTGTCCTCCTTCCTCACCCCCACCCCGCTGCTCTCGCACAAGGTCATCTTTACATACCAAGAGAAAGTAAAAAGGTCCCAGGAGGTACTTTTCTTTTTAGAAAATCACCTTTTTCCCCCTTAATTTTTCTGCAGAAGAAAAAAGCTTTTGAAAGAGGGAAAAGGAAAAAACAAGCCGGCAGCCGTATCAGCCGGTCAGCCCAGGTGGAAAACGAGAGTGAAAGTGGGGCTTAACGGGGAGCGCACCGCCTCTTTCGAAAGCCGCTGGGCCACCACCAGTGCCTGAGCCTTGGATCCCTCAACGTATTGCGAGACGCCGGTGTATAGCCCGGACCTGTGCCCCAACATGATCGCCGCTCAGGCCAAGCTGGTTTACCAGCTCAATAAATACTACACTGAGCGCTGCCAGGCGCGCAAGGCGGCCATCGCCAAAACCATCCGAGAGGTCTGTAAGGTGGTCTCGGACGTGCTCAAGGAAGTGGAGGTGCAGGAGCCTCGCTTCATCAGCTCCTTGAGCGAGATCGATGCCCGCTACGAAGGGCTTGAGGTCATCTCGCCCACCGAATTTGAGGTGGTGCTCTACCTAAACCAGATGGGCGTCTTCAACTTCGTGGACGACGGCTCGCTGCCCGGCTGCGCGGTGCTCAAACTGAGCGATGGGCGGAAGCGGAGCATGTCTCTCTGGGTCGAGTTCATCACGGCTTCGGGCTATCTCTCAGCGCGTAAGATCCGCTCACGTTTCCAGACGCTGGTGGCTCAGGCAGTGGACAAGTGCAGCTATCGGGATGTGGTCAAGATGATCGCGGACACCAGCGAGGTCAAGTTGCGCATCAGGGAGCGCTACGTGGTGCAAATCACACCGGCGTTCAAGTGCACCGGGATCTGGCCTCGAAGCGCGGCACAGTGGCCTATGCCCCACATCCCCTGGCCTGGCCCCAATCGGGTGGCCGAGGTCAAGGCCGAAGGGTTCAACTTGCTCTCGAAGGAGTGCTACTCGCTAACCGGCAAGCAGAGCTCGGCGGAGAGCGACGCCTGGGTGCTACAGTTCGGGGAGGCGGAGAACCGCCTGCTGATGGGCGGCTGCCGAAACAAGTGCCTCTCGGTGCTGAAGACTCTGCGGGACCGCCACCTGGAGCTGCCCGGCCAGCCGCTCAATAACTACCACATGAAGACACTGCTGCTGTACGAGTGCGAGAAACACCCGCGAGAAACGGACTGGGACGAGTCGTGTCTGGGCGACCGGCTCAACGGCATCCTGCTGCAGCTCATCTCCTGCCTGCAGTGCCGCCGCTGCCCTCACTACTTTCTGCCCAACCTCGACCTCTTTCAGGGCAAGCCCCATTCGGCCCTGGAGAGCGCTGCCAAGCAGACCTGGAGGTTGGCCAGGGAAATTCTCACCAATCCCAAAAGCCTGGACAAACTATAGGGTGCTGGGGACTGCTTGAAAAGCGACACAAACGGGCGTGCTCTCTCAGACACACAACACACAACTCAGCGATTAACAGCAGAAACTCTGGACACAAACTTTTATGTAAGTCACCTGAAACGAACAGGAATCAGGCAGAAGACCTTCGTTAATTAAGAAGCAAACAAAAAGAGAGCAACCCAACCAAAACAAATCACATTCTTGCACAAAAGTGATCGTTTTCTTCCAAACAATGTGAATTTAAAAGGTCACACAAAAGAAGCAATCGGGCTGTGCCACCACAAAATGAAACCCAAGGTACATTTTCAAATCAATGTATAGTAGTTTCTCCCTTTTCCTTCTTTCCCCCATCCTTTTTCTCTCCACCTCCCCCTCCGATTTCGTTTTACTTTTGGTTGCCTGAATGTTGTCACCAAGTGAAAAAATTATTTAACTATATGTAAAATTTCTCTTTTAAAAAAAGTTTTACTGATGTTAAACGTATCTCAGTGCCAATGTCAGATTGTGCCCCTCCCTCTCCTGCACCTCTACCCTCACCCTGAGCCGTCTTGTTGAAAACAGTAATAAAAACATTACTTTACATTGTAATTGACTGTTTGTGGATTGTTCTTAAATGAAGGCAGGTGAGATCACAGTTCATAATTTGCAATGTAAAGATGTGAACTCGAGGAACCAAATGCAAGAAGCTCCCATTTGAACTGACTTGCAAAATTTAAAATACAGCACATTATGTAGAATTGACTGTACAAGTTCCCACCCCAATCCTTAGAAAATAGAAAACATTAATTTTACTCAACTGTAATATATATATTTGTTCTGTAGATGTTAAGATTAAAGGTAACATCTACTTTGAATTTGGGGGAGAAAGTATGAAAAAGATTTTGATCCTAATTTTTAAAGTAGAAAAAAACTTTTTCACGTTAAAAATTAAGAGATGACCTTTCTTATGCCATAATTTCAAAAAATCCAATCTGAATCCGATATACAAAGAAAATATTTATGGATGTTTTCTGGATAGTTAACAAAGTCAGTTGATACTTTTCCTTCAACCGTTTGTCCTCTTCAAGCTTTGAGTAAAAAAATTTAACAATTAAACCACAACAAAAAAGAATAAAATGGTTATAGCAATAATCCTCTCCCCCAGCATATGGTGATATCAACCATTCAGATTTATAAAAATTACTTTCATTTTAAAATGGCTTAGTTATAAATTCCATAATTATAATTATTTTAATCAAATTTCAAGAATTATTCTGAAACTGCTTACATGCATTTCAAACAAAAAAGGTTTTCATACCATTTTTATAACCAAAGAAAAATTATTGTTCCAGGAATTTACAAATAGGAAAAGTACTTTCCTCCTCTTTCTGTTTTTCTAAGGTAACCAATATACTCAATTTCAGTGTTTCACCTTTAACAAAGGTTTGTTTTTAATGCAAGGGAATAACTGATTAGAAAATAACACAATTAGTCAAACTGGAAGTATCCCAAAGGAATTGGTTTGTCTTCTTTATGTTGAAGGTAACTATATACTCCATTAGTTATGCTAATGGTGAGACATAGGTATAGAATATATGTCAGATGTTACCCTTTAATATCTGACATTTATTCTCTGTATTAGCCCAGTTTTTAATTTATTGAGAAAATGCACAAACGAGAGGTATAGAGAAAAATGTTTTTAAAAAGCAATTTTAAAGATCAGAGGAAGAAGTTTGAGAGGGGGAAGGGCTGTATGGAGGGATGAGCAGCAGGATAGCAGAATAGATGAAAAACAAGAAAGCCACTCAGGGGTCTGAAGCCTAGTTCACTTGACAAACAGGCTTAAGTTGTAAGATTCCCTGGTAAAAATAGTCCTGTGTTAAAAATATAAACTTTGATTTTATCAGTTCTGAAATCACCTTTACTCTTTCAACTCAAACTGTATTGTATCGATTTTTCTAGTCTCTCTTCCTGTATTCCACACAGTAGTTCAGAAAAATACACAAATTCTTTTAAATTATAAAAACCAATTTATTCTCTGGGGAAAATGTTCTGAATTTTAAAAACATTTTCAAACAAACAGGAGGTGCTTACATTTGCACAAAATGATTTAAAGGAATAGTGTTTAGTTTAAAAGATAAAAATAATATCTATAAATTACCATTTTTCCCTCACAAGAGTATTTGCAGCGTTAGACATACATAACCCTCCAATTATTCCAAAAAAAAAAAAAAAGAAATTTTTAAGCCTTGATAAGAACAAAAATATCCCCAATTCAACATATTTTCTTCTTCCTTATTTAATTTAATGGAGGTATCAGTAAAAAAAGAAAAACAGTGCAGCAACATAAATGTCCTCTTTTACAGAACACCTTAAAGTATTAACATCTATACAAAATTAAAACTTCTTCCAGTCCAGTAACTGAAATTTTTTTTTTTTAGTATAAATTGCCAGGAGTTTTGACTTCTGGAATATAAGGAAGGCTGCAGTGATACAAGACCATTTCTTGATTACGCCAAAAGATCTCCACATTTCCCAAGCAACCAGAAAAAAATTAATTTACTGATGCAGTACAGGTTCAGATCAGAGAGAAATAAAACTTGTAACTTCTTTATAAGGAGCAAATAACTTCAAAGAACATAATCTCAAAGATTGGCAGAGATTCTAATTTTCAGAACAATTCATTAGACCCCTTAAATTAAATCAAATTTTAGACTTTGATCTATATGTGTCTAAAAGCATGATAGAATGTCCTAAATTAAATCCCAGACTTTCTTAAATTCAGAAATTACCAGAAATCAGAGAGTTTAATTTTGGTAACCTTCCTTTCCTAAAAAAACTAATGCATTTTCAGACATTTCAGTTATGGGATAAAGTAGAAAAAATTTATAATTGCTAGAATTTCAGAATTAGCAAGTTTTCTCTACATTAGATTAGCTAACTTATCAAGCTCAAAACAGTCAGCTCCATACAATCTACCAAGTCCTGTCTTAATAAAGGTAGCAACATTTAAACCAAGTAGTGGAAATATGCATAAGACAAGATATGATTTATCTGTACAGTTTTAAATAAAATTATAACATTTGCATCAAGGGCTACTTTGAAATATTTCTAAATCATTTAGATTTAATAATCCACATAATTATAAAATCGAAGAACCTTCTACCAATAAACTCAAAATATGTGTATGTATATACATGCTATCAACTTCCAAAATAAATTATTCCACTTTTTAAACCACGTTTCTCTACAGGTTGCTTACTTTACTCATTTTTAAAGAAACTGCTTCCTCTCAGAGCAAATTCTACCATTCTTTTTCTTGAAATAAGCCTAATTTTGGCTTTTATGACTGTATTACAAATGTTTCTTTGTAAAAACAAAGTTGCCATGGTCTGAAAAGCAATGAGAAATACATTTTAAAGGGGAAATTACATTTTCATTTAAGAACAGAATATTATGCAGTGCCTTGTAAAATCTACTATATAGGTAATAGGAAACAGAGGTATCTCGCACACACAAAACATGCTTGCATGCACAACAGAGTAGTAAGTCGTGGGGACAAAGCAAGGAGAGTGATATATTGGTATCATACCCAGAAAACATAAAGGCTAAACAAAATAATTCCACTCTCAATCTCACTGAATTTTGTATCTTAATTCACCCTTGACCCTTTGAGGAAAAATATATTTATAGATGATACTCCCTGAGGTTCCTTCCCCTCCTCACAAAGAGCTAATGATAAATGCCATTAAGTAGTATTTGTTTTTGAATCTAAATGAACTTCAATAATCTAACTGGTAGGGAATCATAAGCTAAAGAAGATAATGACATTGCATATAAGCCAAGGCAACTTAGAAGAAATTCAAACTAAGCCTGTCAGATTTACCAATGCCAATCCACCCAACAGCACCCACCATCCCATCATAAGAAAAAATGAAACCCCCTTATCTTCTCACCTTGGGGTCGATTTTTTTGAAGTTAGGGTCCTCTTCATCCACCTCAAAATAGAGTTCGGAGGAGGTAACAGAAAGAGTGCCCTTTACTACAACGGAGGGGGCCACAAGCTGAGCTGGTGTGCTCAGGCTAACAGGACCTGCCAAAAGGAAAAGACAAGCCACACAAGTTGGAATGACATTTTTCAAAAAAATCAAATTCGACCTGAAATTGTATTTAATCTTTTCATTCTCACTTCTAATACTGAACTGCCTGCCAACTACTTCTACACTGACATATTCTGTCCACCCCAAATCTTCCTCTGAAAGTGCAAAGTCAGGGTTCTCATACTAGAAGATTTATAACAGGCGGTTAATGATAATAGTAAACTAGGATGCAATTATTTTACAGGGAGTCTGCAAAGCTTTGGTCTAATCTCTAGGTAAGAAGGTGGCTCTGCCTAAATAAGTCCATCCACATTCCATTTAGAAAACAAGCCTCAGGCTATCTAACAACATGAACAACAACCAGGAGCAAGGAAGCCTCAATGGGCTTCCAAGGCCAGGGGTTAGCTTGCAGTATGGTAGAGGCACGACTACAAAAAGATCACTAGCTTATTAATGAAGTGGGAAATGTTAAACCATACTTTCTGATAGAAATTTTATGCCAGCTTGACACAAAACCTCTCCCATAACAACTTTACCCCATCGATGACTGGCAAAAATACTTATTTTCTAAGCCTTCCTTTCCACTGTTAAGTATTGTTCAATGCTTCACAATCTAATATTAGTGTAGTTCAGGGACTCTGGGAGTAAACAGCTGGAGGGTGGGTTTCCAAGTGAATGAATTTTTATTGGAATAATCAAATCTCCACAGGGATTATCAAAGAGACAAATCAGACTGCTACTGAAAACAACAGATTCACTACAGATAGAACAGCATAATGTATATTCGAACTAAAAATATGAACTAAAAATAATGTTATATATACATGTGTGCATACACACACACACACACACACACACACACACACACACACACACAGAGACTGATGTAGAAAGAATTTGGAATTCCATTGTCAATTCCTCATGGTATAAATCCTACAGGGGAAGAAAACAGTGTAAGAGAAGATTGGCACCTATAGTTCTGAATTAATATAGTGTCTATAAACAAGGTGTGCCTATTCAGGTAATCAATGAGTGAATAAGTGTTTCAAAATTCAGATGAAGTGACATTTCCATCGATTGTTAGAAGGGTGATAGTGCTTAATCTCACATCAATCTTAATGTGTGCCAGTAGGACAATAGAAGGGATGCTCTGCGGAGATCAGAGCAGGTTTTGCCCTCTATTCCCAATGTACAAATACATTGTGTTTGCAGATGGGCAGCAGATAGCTGCAGAACAGCCATGATTTCCCAAAGCTCATCCCTATAAATGGATGAAATAAGAAGCTATGTGTTCTTTTGCTGTCTCCTTTTGCCCTCTGTACATTAGCATGTAATACTGAGAAGAAATAACATTTTTTCAATCATTCTCAGACATTCAATTACAGAGTAAGCAGACAGCTGCAGGAGCTAGGGCAGCCTAGGTCCTACAGAAGACCCCTGACAATTTCCACTTCATTTCTAACCCATACCACTTTATTAGTGTGGATTACTTCTTAATCCTATTGCCATTGTCAAGATTATATAATTAAACTACCCTTTCACCTCTATTACTGTATGAATGTATTACTAGTAGCAAGAATAGAAGCAAAATAAAGGAGGAAATGGGTAAAGGGATGTGAAGGAAAAAACTACAGAAGAGCAATATCTACCTTACTCTCCTCTCCCACCAATTAATTTTATTTTACTTTACAGAGAGGTTTACAGTTGTCAAAGAAGATACCATCTTCTCTTTTTGCTTTTCATTACCAAGTGGCATAGTAGCACAGATTGCAGATGTATCACCAAATGCAAGATTTTTAATGACTTTTCTTAAAATTATCAAAATTGAAGACTATGTAATTTTTACCTATAGAAATTATAGAAGCCTTCAGACTTTCTTCCTTGAGGGGCAGAGCCACAGGTATTAAAGTAAAAAAGCCATTTAATGAATGACTAAAATTTCCGGCTAAACAAGAGAATTTTTCCCATAAGGGATGTAAAACTGAGAATCTACAGAGTGCAAATCAAAATTCCTACATCAGGCAAAATACATGAATGTTGTGAAAAGTCATGGCATTCTTGGAATTGATTTGAGAGAGTTACATGCATATACAGCATGTTCACTAAGACCTGTATATCAAATCAAATAGCTCCTCTCCCTCCAAGCTTTATTTCCAAAGAAAACAAAACCAAAAAAACTGGCAGAATTTTACTTATAGTCCTAATTTACAGAGATTTGGTAGCTTCTATGGGATGGGAAAAGCAATTTTGTTCTTTTGTTGCTGCTTTTAAACTTTTTTCTTTTTCAGTGAAAATTATTCATAAAAGAAAAAAAATGAGGAGAGTAAGAAGACTGAAGAGAACAGAAAAATAAAAGAGAAACTGTAGAAAATAAGGGGGGAAGTGTTTGAAATAACCAATTAATGTAACTGTGGGTGTAAGCTTGGGAGTCCTAGTGGTCACAGCTGAAAAAGTAAGTAATTAGATGCTTATTGTCCCAGGGGTAGCTGAAATAGCTGCACAGCCACCAAATTTACCAGCAAGATTCTCTAAATCTTTCTCATCTACGGATGACAGAGTATCATCATCGCCTTCCAGGAAGATCTCGTTTTCTGAGTTCTGATTTCCCAAAGCCTGACTCTTGATGGATTGTTTTCCTTTAGCAAGGATATCTTCATCTGTGGCTGAAATGAAAAGGAAACAAAGCTGTCCGTCAGTTCTGGGAAGAGCACTTCGGCAGAGGGGTAGGAGCTTAGGTAAGGGTAGGTGGCCAAAGATGGTCAATCTTTTATACACAGAGTCAGCCACAGTGAGGAAGTGATTGGGATGGCACGCACGCCTGTTCTGACAAACTCGATCCCTCAACCTAGTCTAACGTTACCCTAAACAAGCACCATAATCCCATTAAATCTGACCCCTGCACTGCTCACCATACCATTTATTTACTTATAGTTAGGGCAGGAGTGGGTTCAAAAGCAGTACTTTTTTTGAAAACTCATTAATAGGAACAATCAAAACCCAGTTTTGGAAACAATATTTATTTAACGCCAAAAAATAAGGACTGATTCATTTCCCCAAATAATGTCATACTGACAAACATGGTTGAGAAGTGGCTGTGGAGGAGAGTCCAGAATTAAGGGTCAAAGCTAAGAGACATTCACAAGCCAATGAGGATTTAGGCCCAGATACTGAAGCCATATCTGACACTAACAAAACTACAGCAGCTCCTTGAAGCTGCAATCCCTTCTTTATCCACCCTCCTTCCTTCACATTACTCTTGTCCACATGTTCACACATACACTCACTCCTCTGCCCTTTCGCCCCTTATACAAATATCCAGGAGCAAGGCGGTGTGGAAACTAAGTGGAAGCTCAAACACTACCTCCTCTGCCTGTTTAAACTAAAGGGCTAAGGCACCCCGGGGGCAAACATAACAGAAAGCCTGGGAGGAGAGGCATGTGGGCAAGAGGCCTCATGCGGCCTAAACTGGAGCAGCCTGTGGAGAGCAGCAGTAGCAGACTCAGGCACTGTGACAAGGCAGCAACTGCAGGCAGAAGGAGGAATAGAGAATACCACATCTAGGAAGGGAAGAAGCAGCTCTGCAGAGCACCTACACTTAACAATGGGATCCGACAGGGGAGCAGAGACACAACAGAAAGAGGAAAACACTGAAATTCAAAACTCTGATTCAAAGCCCGCATCCTTCCAGGGCCCCTCTTGTTGTTTTAAGCAGCTTTCTCCTTACGAAAAGCAGGAAGGCAGATGCTAACTTCTAAATTGTGATTTGTAAAACCTCATATGTGTGTTTTTTCCTAATCTTCTTTTTTTGAATGGTGTCATATAAGCCAAAGTTAAGAATCTTCACCTGACCCTCCTGGCTTTCAGCTAGATAAATCTCTGAGGTAAAGCACCTGATCCACCCAGGCTGCAGCTATTGATATGGAAATCGGATGGCTAGGTTTTTTTGCTCCACTGCAGCTTCTGCCTAGGCAAAAGGCCCAAACCTCAGAAAGAATAAAGCAGTCAATTTGCAGTAACATGACTAATATATAATCCATATAATTTATTCTAAATAGTTAAACTGCACATGTGTTACCTGATTAATTTGGCAGATCAAAGGTTCTTGGGGTTTGATAGGTACGTTTATGGATGATGCTAAAGGTAAAAGTTGTTTTTCTCATATTTATTGGGAATTCACCATGTACAACATATAACATTTATATACAATACTTACAGTGCTGCTTAAACAAACATTGGAGTTTCTATTTAATAAGAAGTCATAGGGAGAAGCTTTCTATATTTACCTTTGAATACACTCTATGGGTAAATAAAACCTTTCATACCCACAGGCTGCATTGTAAGCTACACACACATATGATGATCTGGACACACGTTTGAAAAGATTACTTTAATGTATCTAATTAAAGTGGCTTTATTTATTTATTTATTTTGAGATAGGGTCTTGCTCAGTCACCCTGGCTGAAGTGCAAAGGCACAATAACAGATTACTACAGTCTCTACCTCCTAGGCTCAAGTGATTCTCCCAGCTCAGCCTCCCAAGTAAGTGGGACCACAGATGCTCGCCACCATGCCCAGCTATTTTTTTTTATTTAATTTAACTTTTTGTAGAGGAGAGGTCTCACATTTTGCCCAGGCTGATCTCGAACTCCTGGGTTCAAGCAGTGCTTTTACCTTGGCCTCTCAAAGTTGCTGGCATTACAAGCATTAGTCATCTCACCTGGCCTTTTTTTTTTAAATGCTAAAAAGAAATATACTTACAATTAACCAATAATTTTTGGGAAAACAGAAGTATGTTCTAAAATCACTTATATTTCAAGTATTGATATTTCCTTAACCTAAAATCAGAAACACTGACCTTAGGCTAAGCAAGATACTTTGCAATTTACTATCAACTTTATTAAAAATGTACTGGCTACTGAGAAATGCAAATGAAGCACCATCTTCTAGATGTTTTTATAAAGTAAATTATAATAAATTATTATTTGCCAGTTAGATTTTAGTACAGAATCAGTATACTACATTCTTTTCATTTCTTGGATTTATAATTCCTTCTTCAAAGCAGAAATATTAATAATAAGGCTAATATTACATACCATTTTGCATGAGCCGGGGAGTGTTAAAAATACATAGTTAACTCATTTAATTTTCATGAACTTTATGCTAATTTATAATTTTAAGATAAGAAGACAGGCTCAGAGAGGTTACATAATTTGCCCAAATTAACATGGCTTTTGACAATTAGAGTCAGGATTTTAAAAAGGCAGCACAGTGCCAGAATCTGGGTTCTTAACCACTATGCCATACTAGCTCTTACAGGTAAGAAAATGAAAGAAAACAAAAACAACCACTGTTCAAATATGAACGTATATATAATTAATTTGTTTACTAATTCTTATCTCTTATAGTGCATTTTAAAAGGTTAAATCAGAATAAACAAGAACAAAAAATATTCATTTCCAAATCTAAATCTGATGAACATGCCAAACACATCAGAAACAGCTAAATTCAATGCCCTGCTCATTACTTCCTCTGATTATTGCCATACATGTCCTAAAGTGCACCAAGCTTATTTGAAAGGAAAAAAGAAGAAACTTCTTTAATCTACAAATATATACAAAAAAATTAGGGTCCCCAATGGCAATATGTAATGGTTTAAAATAGCTCAAAAAATAAATTCACATTCGTTTAAATGACCACAAAAAATAAGATTAACCCTTCCAATTGCAATTTAAAATTTTTAATTATGTTCTAATCATGCTGCCTATATTATAACACAGTAAGATAGCTTCTGAATTAAAGTTTCATTAAAAATTTTACATACTATAAGTGTACTGTATGCATACACACACCCACTTTAATTTATTTATTTACTTATTTTTACAAGCTCAGATTCTGGAATTGTTCAAGCTCCACTGAAAAACCTCTTGTCATGGAAAATATGCAGCTTACTGATATTTAGAATGGTTTTCCTGTAATTAACTCCCCCTTGAGGATTTTAAGTTAGCAGCAGTAAAATTACCAACAGTACTCTAATATACACCACATGCGCTGGTATTCAATTCTCAGTGGTCTAATAGCTTTCTGCTAAAGGAATTTAAAAAAAAAAAAAATTAGAACAAAACTTTTCCAAGCATAAAATAAAAGATTATTATCATGTTTATATGTGCTGGGGACAAGTATATTTTAACTTCCATTTGCGTTATTCTCAATCAACCATTATAAACAAGTATTTTGATACCTTCTATGAATATATTCTACACTAGTCCAAAAGTTAACTGAATGAAGTCAGAATATATTTTGGGTTCCATTTTAAAGCTCATTTCAGATATTTCTAGGTAACAAAATTGTTACTAATGTGATCATTGTTTAAATTTTTCATATCACTATTAAGAAATGCCTTTTATTCTGGTTTAATTTTGCCTTTTATTCTGGCTTAATATTTATCCCAGCTTAATAATTAATGCAATTGTTACATGAAATTGGAGAAATCTGTCAAAAATGCTGTCTTTAAAAATGATTTGATTCACTAAGGCTAAAAACAACAAAAGATCTAAGAGAGAGAGGCTGGCCCTCAAAACGTAAAATTCAAGTTCTTTAGAGCTAACTCTGGACATGAGTTGATTCATCTATCCAACACAAAGCAGGTAAGTAGAATTAAAATATAAAAAGAGCAAAAACACACAAAACTGTTCCACCTTCAATATAAATCCTTTTCAAACATCTACTGAGCAAGTGAACTGGAATCATCAATAGTCTATATCAAAGTAAAATAAGTTTATACTTTAAGAATTAGCCACTTTAAAAAAGACTACTATTGGAATAACAAAGTGCCTTCAAACATACATAAAATAAAAATGGGTACATACTTAGTGTAATGTGAAGCACACACTATAACTGTATTTTGAACAGGACACATAAAGAATAACTTATAATCAACTATTGTTCTAATCTAACTGATTCCCCTCTGTACTTTATGCCATGTCCATAGCATTCCAAGTCAAGAAAATTGATTCTGAAAAAAAATTAATTAAACTACAAAGAATGAGCAGAAGAACAAGCCATGTGCATCTCCTAATAACCATGGGTTACCGAAAATTTTAGATAGAGAACATAGTATACGTTGATCCTAAAAAGCAAGCAACATTATCTGGTATTATTGAAGTTATGAGAGAATGGAATGATTTAAGATCTTTACATGATCTGTCATCCCTAGAAAACCAAATGAGTTACTTGTATCATTCCATATGCTTACAAGATACTTTTAAATCTATGTTAAATTCTCATTATGTATTTCTATTAGTAAGTACATTCTCTACAAAATAAAAATGTCTTGAATTCAATAGGGTTCTCTGCTAAACTGTTTTAGCACCTGAATTAAAACCAATCATTCTACCATTTAAAACACTTTTTATGTGGCTTTAATTTGAATATAAAATTCCCATTATATTTAATAATAAATTTTAGAAGACAGCACAGCACACTGATATGAAAATGTAGGCTTCAGTCAGTTAACCTGGGCTTTACTCCTTTATCTACCAAAAATTATATTGGCCCTTTGTTTCCTCAGTTTCCTTATCTGTAAAGAATAAAGTTAAACCAGATGTTAGTCTTAGGTTCCTTCTACATCCAAAATGCTCTGATAATAATTAACTGCTAACCTGGGCTCTGGCATTAGAAAAATGTTACGAATCATTGCTGATAATTTCTAATAAATTTTAAAACTATAAAATGAAAGAAAATGCCCTCAAGAATAAAATACTCAGCTTTGCCTGAGCTGATAATTTCCATAAAGAATATTTAATCATAAGAGGAAGTATTAATTTTAATTTAAAAATATGACTCAGTTTCTGCAAAGTTAAAGAAATCTCCCATTACAACATGACTTTTATAAATAACCACTTTGGAGGGTCTCTGTTTGAAAAATTACCTAAAGCTTTTTTCCCCAAGCAAGTTAATGTGAACTTGGGAAGGGCAATTAAATTGTCAGAATTAAAAAATTTGTTTTTAACTAGAAGGTAGGCAGAAGTAGAGTCATGGGGCTGGTATTGATCGTCCAAACAGAGAACATCACTCTTCAGGTATTTACTCTGCCACCTTTACACTAGAGGCTTTCCTTCAAATCAAATCAATCTATAAAAAAGATGGCTCTTTCTACTAAAATACATAGCTAATCTCCAATGGCACTTCTATTTATATGTCTTGCTTTGATAATGATAATACAGTTCATGGTGTTTTAAGATTCAGCATTTTTTAAATGTCCTGTCTCCTTAGTTAAATAAACTATAAATAAAGGAAGTCATAAAAATATAGGATTGACATACTATCCTCATTAATATCTATTTTAAATATTTAAATTCAACATTTAAAGCACAGTATCCATGTTAAAAATCTATTAATTTCAACTACCTTTTGATCACATTAACAATTTTGTTTGGCATACTTAATTCTTAATACGTTCATTTTGATTAGCTTCTTTAATGCTCCAAAAAATTTAAACACCAAATTAAAATTGAACGTCACTATCAAATACTTTACTTAATAAACTAGTAAAAAATTATGCTTTTTGTTTACAGAATATATTAGCATAAATTATGCTGACATCAAACAATACCATAACACAATCTATGTGCTGAACTGACTTCCTTATTGTTTAAAATAAAATAAATATGAGGTATAATTAGAATTTGCTTTTTCAAAAAATTTTATTTAAATATGATATAGCTCTGTAATTGTACGACAAGTGAAGAATCTTCTACACATTTAGATTTTTAAACATGTATTTCAAACTCAAATTTTGTTCATAATATTTTGGAGTGTGATAATAATTACAAGATTACTATAAAATATTACTCAATGCTTACCTTTGCTATTACCTCTCAATTTAAAAATGCACAATAAAATATAGATAATTAATTAACATTGTATTAACCTTTCAATTACTGCCTAGAGTAATCAGAGTGAAATCTGCTTCTACATACATCAAAAGAGTCTTAAATGATAGTAAAAGCATGCTAATAAATGTTTTTTTGTCAAACATTATTGCAGATGCTTAGCATTTAAAAAGCTGACAAAACACATGATTTTAAAAGATAAAGTTCAACAATTAAAATTTATTCATTATTAAGAATCCTGTAATTCTTCAAAATGTTTAAATGTACTATTTTTGATAAGAATATATTTTAGTAAATTCTGTATTAAATCTATACCACAAATTTTAAATTGAATTATTGATATCTAAGGATAAAATATTAAGTTTGTCTATGTTCATTTTAGAAAACAAATCCTCCCATTCCCGATATAAAAGTAAAAGGTTTTCATAAAACATAGTACCATGTATAGATCTCAGAACTCACAAATTACTGTAAAGGATGTTTTAGAAGATAAAAAATTAAATTTCAAATTTTAAGTGCACATGGTAATACATTTTGCTGAAAATTGCAAAAAACTTCACTTTCTTAATGTAAGCATCATTAACCAAAAACAAACCAAAAAACACAAAAAGAAAAAAAACCCTCTGAAATCTGTTATCACCACATAAAAAGTATATGTACTATAAAAACAAAGTGGCCTAATTAATTTTACATTTTATTTCTCTTTATCCACCTCCTATAGTTGAAGATGCAGGGCCATGAGACTGTTATTGCTTTTAGATCACTTCGTTATTGACTATTCTCCGTAAGATCATTTATTTTAAAGGACTGATGTCACATTTGGTGTTATATCTGATGACATATTGTGGACATTTTCTTCTAGAAATGGTTCCTTAACGCTGAGTGCAAGAGGTTAAGCTGCCTGACTGAGGCCAAATCTAAGATTACAGATTTTTAATCTAAATTCTTAATATCCTTATTGAATATAAATTAACATTTATTTTGTATACTACATATTTCCATTTAACCACAAACTGCTACATGTTAAACCAATACCCTGAAAAAGGAAAATTAAAAGTATTTCAGACCTTATTATAAACCGATTTGTATTTTGTAAAATCGGAATAATTTTAATGTGGGGAGGGGCATTTTCTCCTTCATCAATATTTCTTGACTTTCAAAAATCATAAAATAATGAGTGAAATTCTATGATAAAAAATACAGTATCAAATCCAAATGATCTTTTCAGTTTTTCCAATTTACTTATCAGACTTCTACCTAAACTGAATCATAGTCATATGTACTGTAACAAAACAGAAAAAATGTTTTGTTAAGCTCTGATAACAAAATAATACAGAATAGTAACATATGAAAATAATGTTTATTCTTTTTCCATGAGCCATCTATCATAACCATCTACAAATCAACACTCAGAAAGTATCTAGGCACTTGGATATTTATTACTATCTTTCCCACTTCATGATTTCATGATAAAATACCATGACTGCGGGAAAACCATGTGTACACAACAGAACCTAGAAACATATCTGGTTTGTAAATGCTGTCTTTCTAATATTCATGGATTTAAGGCAGGCCTCCTGGATTCATTTGCTAAAAGCTGAATGTGTCACTTAAAATGAGACATATTTAATCCTTGTACTCTGAAACAAAGGGTCTATGTTAAGTAAGTTTTGTATGTGTAACATAATGAATAAATATACTTGACACCATAATTTAATAGGACTCTATAGTAACTATAAAAAAATTAACTTTTCTTTCTGGTTTGAATAACCATGAAATGTGGTGTTGGACCATTTTACAGTGCCTTGTAATAATGAAGTTATGCTCTTCATTACCAAGTGCTGTACCTGCTGCTATTGGCAAGGAATGGTTTATACACTGACCATGTTCCACGGCTGTTTTTAGTGTCGCTTCAGGATGTGTCGATCCTAGAGGGTTACGCACAAATCGTCGCCGGCGCCGCAAGTCATCTTCCCAGTAGTCAAGGCGCCAGAACTCACGAGGACGACTACAATGAAACAGAGAAGCCACATATGTTAGCAATTATCAAACAGCGTGGTAGCACTGAATTTCTGCATAAAGCTCTCCTTGTTTGCTCTGTCTTTTTTTCCCTCTCCTTCCTCTTAATTCTCCCTCCATCTCACACTCCCCTTTCTGCAATCTTTAACTTAGGTATGTCCTTGAAAATAACAATATCACCTTCTAGTCTAAGGAACTCCTTTTCCTTTTCTTGGAAGGTGAAATGAGCACTAAATACATCATTTTGAAATGAATTGCTGACAGTGTGATCAGTTTCCCCACACTCTAGTGGCATGTGCTCTGATTTCAGCCTCATTTCAGCCTCAGCAGGGCACCTTTCTCTGTAGCTGCATTTATAAACCAGAATAGGGAAAAGGCTATTATAAATATGGTATAGCATTACCTATATTAATCAAAGTCCGTCCCCCTTCATTTTTCTTCCTAATTTGTGCCTTTTTGCACAAGGTCAGTAAATCATACCATGAATTCTTGGTCTAGAAAGTGTTAACTTTAATGAATATCTCAGTTACATGGTTATGTATGTGATAATAAAATATTACTCTGTTTAGATGTGCAGGAATTTAATTAAAATAATCTCTTAAAATATTCATTACATTTAGCCCCTGAGGCTTAGAACAACACAAGAAAATGCATTTCTTTTCCATTTACTGTTTTTAAATAAACCATTCCTGTAGAGTGAAACAGCAATCTATTTTCAAGCAAATCAGATTGGATTTCTGTTTTATGTAGTCTGTTTTTGTATTTAATTAAAAACTACATGCTATACGATGTGTAATAATTGCTATATCGAAAACATACTTTTGGAAATATATTTTTTTAAAAAAAGGTTTGCTCATTTCAAATTCTATATTTTCCCCTATTACATAGACATTTTATATGGCAATACATAAATGTCAGCTTTCTCTCTTGTTAACTAATCATGATCTAGCATGCTGGAAAAATATTTTATAAGGAAAATGCTAATGTTTTTTCAGTTATAGTATAAAAAAACTTCTGTAGAATATATTAATTCAATGAAGACATAAAGCATGAACACCTGTAAGTTTCAATAATGAAATTAAAAAATTATTCATAATCAAAACTTCTTCAGGAATGACTAATACAAAATAAAATGTTACTTATATTTCATGAGCTAATAAAATTGTATCTGTCAGCTTTGACAAATTAGTAGTCTTGAACAACTGACAGTCCCAAAATGCCCAAGAAAAAGTTACCTTTATTTTGATGTTTTAAAGATGTTATCTTTAAAAATTCAAAATAGGTTTATAAATAAGTACTTTTACCAATTAAAAAGTATCTTGTATTAATAAAAAGCATAAACAAACTACATTATTTTAAAAATCTTTTTAAAACAGTAGAGACTGATCTCTGAAAATGCTCAGGGGATAATAAGAACGTCAAACATTTCCTTTGTTGATTTTGGTCAGGAGAAGGAGATAAAATGTAATCAAAATGTGTTTTAAAAAAGTATAAGAATTGCAGTCCTCAAAAAGAAAAATTAAAAAGCTCTTATATTTTTCTTCATTATTCTGTCTAAATTTTAAATAAAAACACTATAATATTATTTTAAAATAAATAAATACCCACAGAATATATATACACTCAAAAGAAAACGGTTTTTGGAACTTAATTAATAAAATGAAATTCTCCTTAGGTGAGAAGGAAAAAGGCAGTACACAGATGGTATGTGTATGGCTTTGATAGTCATGGAGCTTGGATAGGCACTTCATCATTCTGCCTACCTACATTTATCTGTTAAAATTATTATCAAATATCAGCCAGGATGCAGTCGTGAATCACAGGCTGTTCCTCGTCTTCAGGGGAATGATACAATGAGGGTCTATTCATCAGTGCAGCAATCGGCACAAGTAATTAGTTCCCTAGACTGAGATCTCCTACAAAGCCTATTTCAGTCAGCACCACAAACATATGACGATGTAAAGCTAATGAAAGCTGCTCAAATTTGTTAACCTTTTCTGCCATCAATCCTTCTAATACTCTATGCTTCAGTATTATGCAAAGGTAGTAAATTATTAATTTGTCATTCATCCATCCTTCTGCATTTTGAGTCAAATTAAATGATGTCATTATTCTTGATAACAATTAAAATTATAAGATGTTAAGCTGCTATGATAAAATTATTACTAAATTAGGTAACAATAGATTCTACTATAATGCACCATAGTGAAGTCAAATTCAATGGCTATTAAAGCATATGTACAATAACTTTTGTCACACAGCAGAAAATCCAGAGGAATTATAAAATTATTCACAAATTATCAAGTAACTCAAAGATAATATCTATAAGAAAAATAACCAAAATTAGGAGGAAATAGAACTATAATATTTATTTTTATACTCTGACACTAACAAAAAACGGTCAAAATGGTGACATTTGGCTAAATCAAAAATATCAGTACATCAGGGAACTGAGAATTTGTTCACATAATAGAAATGAAAGTTAAGTTTCATTTATGCTAACTATATATATATTTATGTATATGTACACATACATACTGTTTTCACATATATTCTATCAGTATTTTAAAAAAATACTTAGACATGGTCCAAAGAGAATAAAGAACTATAATACCTCAGCATGATAATATTTACAATTTCCTGAAGCTATGTCACTTAAGGACTATCTTTCCAACATAATCCAGTTACAACACAATTAAAAATAATCTGAAGACAAAGCAAAGATCACTTAGTTCAGATCACATATCTAGTAAGAACTATAAAAATCATTTCGAAAGACCAACAATTTTAATATATTTTTTGAGAGTTTCTCCATATAATGCACTGCTCCAGGTGATACAGGATACAAAGTTCTCATGGAATGTACTTATAATCAGTTAGCAATTAGTCTCATTTGAGAAAATAGCATTTATCATCCAATTTCAGACTGTGAGGGTAATACATGTTTTTGGAGAAAAAGCCACTCCCACTTATTTGAGATGAGGATCATCTTATTTGAGATGAGGATCATTACTGGCATGTTTAAAGTCATTTACAAAGTAACAAACCTAGGCCTAAAGTCCAATGTTTTGTCTCCCTAAGTCTGCTCCCTCCAACAACATATACTCTCAGTATAACATTCTACCATACACACAAAATATGAGGCACACTTTGTCATTTAAAAAACAGTATTATAAAGGAGTATGTGCAGGTTTTGGTCTTCAACTTACTTTCTTCACTCTCATTTAAGAAATACTGTTCCCTACACTGTCCCTTCCTCAAAAGCCTCTTCTAGGGAAAAGAGGATACAAAATTGGCAAATTTATTAATAACACAGTGATCCAACCCTCTTCACAAAGGGTTGTGAAGTAACTTAAAAATTATTATACCTTTTTGTGGTTATCACCATGGTATGACCAGCAAAATTTAAAAGACTTCATGTATTCAGAAACGGATTGTTGACTAAATATAAGTACGGATAAGATGAGAAATCACTTATTCTGGGAACTTACAAGTACGCATCTAGATCACTATATACCTATACTTTTATATATCTGTATCTATCCCCAAAAGTTATATTAATACTACACAACGCTCTTTCAGAAACTTCACTCATATCCATTTCCACAAGATCCTCAAAATATTCAAAGTAAAACGGTTAGCCTAAGTTTTGGAAGGTCTGGAAATACTTCAGAAGACATAAGCCCTTCTTTACAAAGATGCCCTACTTACAGCTCCTCTTAGGACATAATCTCCAGGTACTAAAGTCTTTGACTGGTGGAACACATGTCTTTAAAGTTATGGATGGCACTGGAGTTAAATATTCGAATCTTTCTAAATTTTTTAATTTAGTTTTTTTGTTCTTTGATCTAATTTCAGAGTCCGAAGTTAAAATTATCATGTCAGTCTACTGGACTTTCCTAAGTCTAAGTCATTTAACTATATTTCTACTTTTTAAAGAACTTTCATGTTATGTGTTTGTATACATACACCTTTAATCTACATAAGAGAATATAAAGCAATGTCATTTTTTAATTTTTTTTTTTTTTGAGATGATAGAATCTCTGTCACCCAGGCTGGAATGCAGTGGCACAATCAGGGAATAGAACAAAGCTCACTACAGCCTTTAACTCGTGGGTTCAAGAGATCCTGCTGCCTCATCTTCCCCAGTATCTGGGACTACAGATGCACACCACCGTATCTGGCTAATTTTTTTCATTTTCTTAGAGATGGGATCTTGCTCTGTGGCACAGGCTGGTTTCACACACTTGGCCTCAAATGATCCTTCTCCTTGAGCCTCCTGAGTAGCTGGGATAACAGGCACAAGCCACTGAGCTTGGCTGGCAGTGCCATTTTAATACACAGAATATATGTTTTATGTTCTACAAGAACAGATTATCAAATTTTTAGAAAGAAATATAATGCAAACATCTATTTCCTAGGCCATTTATGTTTACTGATTTGATCAAGTAGAACGAATGAGAATCATTTGGAAGGGGCAGAAGTATTAAAACAAAAATCAACAACTAAGGTACAATTCACATTTTTCCCCCTAATAGTTGAAGAGCACAACTATACAAATCTGATTATTATTTTTCTCGTGTTAATTGTAAGAATTTTTAGGCTGGGCACTGTGGCTCATGACTGTAATCCTAGAACATAGGGAGGGCTAAGGAAGGAAAATTGCTTGAGGCCAGGAGTTTCAGACCAGCCTGGGCAACATAGCAAGATCCTGTCTCAAAAAAAAAAAAAAAATTAGGCAGGTATGGTGGTACATGCCTGTAGGTCTACCTTCTTGGGGGGCTAAGGTAGGAAGATCTCTTTAGCCCAGAAGTTGGAGGTTGCTGTGAGCTATGATGATGACATTGAACTCTAGCCTCGGTGACAGAGGGAGAGGCTGTCTCAAAAAAAAAAAATTGTAAAGTTTAGTTTTATTCAAATACAATTAGCCAGTTAACATGGTATGAATGGACAAATATTCTAATAAAACGCTAAAATATTTTCTAATAA